TGTTAATCATGCCGGCGTTGTGTGGCCTGAACACCTTATGTTACACTTTGCCCCTTGTTACAATATCTCCCACTTGCCTAACCCTAAAGTACATAAATGTTAATATTGTCTTTTCCTTTAATATTTATAACATCTATCATAAACAATTTGAAGATCACTTGGTGCAACGGTAAAGCTCCTATATTTGCTCGAGAGGTTTTGAGTACGTAGGAATTGTTAAACTCGACATGTTTTCCTCCCCGGCATTAAAAACTATACAAATTAATCTATTAATCTACAGTCCTATAGACTAAAAAGTGCACGATATGGTTGAAGTTAACTTACGCTGAGTTCCTATCTCTGAAAGGACATTAACACAATCACACTTTTTAAATATATTGTTTGAAACTTTCATGGTTACTAACATTATAGTAATAATCCGTGATCATGGCGCTTCCAACAGTGCCGAAATATCGAAAACTCGCTAAAACAAGGTGCATGGTAACAATCCCGTAAATAACATATATTACACTTTTTAAAGTTCATTTTATCAAAACCAAAACAAAATCAAATCTATCCGTTTGCAATGCAGCTTATATGGAAAGTAAACAAAATACCTTTCTGTACAACTCTTGATATAAGATTTTATTGCCAATATGAACTACTTTCTAGTATTTTTGGTAACACATATTTAATAAAATTAGTATAAACTTATCTTTTTATGAACAACTGACAATCGTTAATATGAATTCGGACGGTTAAGTATGCAAATTACAATATAACCAACAGCAAGAGCCATCATCAAAGTACGCAAGGACCTCAATTTCTCCTCAATTTTCTTTGATTAAACAAAGCATATGTGCTCTACACAACTGTTTCTTTATGTCAATAGCAAAGAAGTTGTTAATATTAAACAGTTGGAAATGATGGCGCTATCGGGGGCGTGTCCATAAGCGGGCACAAACAAAGAAACGGTTATGAATTTTAAGTTAGTTCGTCAAAGGTATTATACCGTATCGCGCCGACTTAATTCTATGAATTATAGCTTACAGTTCGGGCTAACGTTATGTCCCATTTGTGCCTAACTAACTATTATGTTTTTAACTGGCTATGGTTGTGACTTCGTACGAGTGGATGTCGATTTTCAGTACCTACATATTTTTTGGAAATCTTCATTTGTTTCAGCTACCGTTAAATATTTATTGCAGCTCTCAGATACAAAATTTTATGGTTGTATAATTGAAGTATTGTTCGTTCTGTTGTTATTACATGTAGAGTGACAGCATTGACTTTAATCAAACTTAAAAAGTTAATGACTATAAAGTTTATAAAATAATTAATAAATTTTAAAAGAATAGGTATGGTGCAAACTTTTCATTCCACCGAATCAATAAATCTAAGCTTTCATACCATGTTAAAATTACGACAATTTCAATGCAAAGAAAATCGACCTTTTTTTTAACTAGCTTTAATAGCTAGTCAAATGAACTGAAAGAACTGTTAACGTCAAGTAAAGTATAATGGTTTGCTACTTATTTCTACTGATATTTAATTTTCATTAAAAAAATCACTAAATGACTTTTTCGCGAATAATTACAATTGTTGTGACGATTGAATAGCTATCGAAAAAAAATATTTGTAAAATCTATTTGTCGTTCTTCCATGCAGCGAAAAAAATCTTAGTGTCGCTACACACGGGCCACCGCCCACAATCACAAAACGCCGCCGCCTTCATATTTCTTGCAGTTTTCATAATTTTATATGGACTCGCCACACACGGTACGCCGGTGGCCGCCACAAGCTACAAATCGTCGTTGCTCGCTTCTTGTGGCCCACACCGGCCACTTAATGCGCCGATACAAAACGCCGCCACACGTCACTCGCGCGATTCCCCACCCCTTTCTCCCTTACCTTAGTCGGCCGCTGTCGCGCGCTTCAGCCACTTAAGTAGCCGCTTCTAGCTTCTCGTGGCGACGTTTGTGGCTGTGGCGTGTGGCCCGTGTGCGGCGACACTTAATTGCCAAAGCGATAAAAAAATATTTGTTTATTAGGATTAAACGAATTATATGTCTGTCAGTGGAAAAAAACGATGAATTTCTTCATGTTTATTTATAGAAATCTTATTCTTGTATTTAGCTATATAATGAATCTTTACTTTATTATTATAAAGCTGAAGGGTTAGTTTGTTTGGTTTAAAGCGCTATTCTCAGGAACTACTGGTCCGATTAGAAAAAGTTTTTTGTGTTAGATAGGGCATTTATCCAGGATATAACATAACGCGGCCAATCGGAAAGTCCAGATGTCACCGTCTCACTGAGGCCACAATTCCAATGCGTACAAAGAAAGGAGACCCGGCACTTTTCATAGAAAAAATGCTAAACTTGTATACAGTTGAATTTGGTCTCAAAATAAAGCCAAAATTATTTGCTACATAAAACTACTTTTGCCTTATTTTTAGTGAATCGTGGAAAGAAGTTATATAATGATTAATATTTTTTGATATGGAAACCCTAAATCTTCAAGGGGCAGAATTTTACTTCAAAATATTTCTCAAGTGACTGTAAAAACCATGTCTCTTTTGCTTTTTCTAAATAAAAAAACCAAATGTCAATTTGACAATTCTTAAATACAAACAAAAAAATCATTCGCATTTCGCATCCGCTCCCGCGTACTGTGATTGTGAATGTTCTCTGCTGTGATTGCCTTTTTATCCGTTATTTCTCTTGACGACCCGGCTCCTTATAGAGGTTATATTGACAAACCTACGTATTTGACATTGACAGCTAGCTGCTGATGACAAATATTGCCAGACTACGTTACCCAATTATGAAACACAGATAAAAAAAATTAAAAAAGTATACAACTTTGGCACAAAATGCCGGGTGTCCTTTGGTGACTCATTTCTTTGTTGCACTATCCGAAAATGGAATGCTCTAGAAGAAAAAACATGCAGGCCGGCAAGGTGAGGAAGGCTGGTTTGGCAGGTAGAACTGCTGTACCAGCTATCTTCACGTCTGGACTTTACCGTCACTTAACATCAGGTGGGGTGGAGTCATTTGTCGGACCTATCTATAAAAAAAAAATACGTTTGCAGTGACCACACCCGCACTCCCTGCATCCATGGAACCTCGGTCCGCACAATGCGTGTCGTGTGGCTGGTGCAGGAGTATTGTCGGGTTTTAAGTAGTCCTATTCATGGCGTTAAGTAGGGCCCTCCTCATTTCACCCGGCCCAACGGCTAGCTGAAATAAGCAGGGAGGAGTCCCACATACCTTCTTTTCGCTCCCCCTGTGGTTGAAGGATGCGTAAGGCATTTTCCAGCCAATAAAAGGTTATAACACAACGCTGCGAAAATCTCATAAACGCACCATAATAGGGGTGATGACGGGGTACAGTAAACGAAATTCTATTTAGTCCGTCAGTTAGATAATCAAAAAATAATGGACACGTATTTTTTCTTTGGGCAATCAACCAAAAAATGACAAAGTTATAGCGCGTCAAAGTTTGGGAGTAGGGGCTCGTGACGTCACTTTTAAGTGAAAATTGTACCACAACGTGACGTCATGCGACTTTTCAAATCACTACATCTCTGCAATGTTTATATTATGTGAAAAAAGAAAAAAATCCAATACTTTTTAATAATATTATTTGGAATTGGCGTCGTAGGTACTTCTTTTAAGCCCAGCTCATGCAAACGTTTCCAAACATTTGAAAACTTTTAAAGAAGGACAAGGGTCAGTCCATAGTTTTTTATTAACTGCTCGGGAAAGTTGGCAGCTGTCGTATTCCATGTTTTTCTTTCACTTCCAACATATGTAATTAATTATTAACTAAAGAAGTGCCGCGTTCGTTGGTCGATTCGTCATGATTTCATTCATAATTTAGCGAGCTGATGTATCTATGTCATACGGAGGAGCTAGGTTAATTAAAAGTTAATCACGGCTGTAATTATTGAATGTGAACCTAGCGAGCCACGTGATTACAGGGTAGCGATGTTAAGCTCAGCCATTTAGGACCTGAACCATTTTAAATTGTATACAGCGTGAAGCACAAAGTATTTGCGAATAGCTTTTGCGAATTACAAAAAAAGTCTTAACCTTTAGCAGCGTTTAAGCCAGACGACGGCACGTGTAAGCACGTACAATTTTACGTTTGATTGTTCAATAAATACGTTAAACATCATTCCTTTTGGGTAACATTATAATGAATTGATGGAGGCAGAACTTCAAAAAATGCGTCAATGTGATACAGAAGTTCACAGCATTATTCAGCGCAGTAACGCAACACTTGTTACTATTATGTTGTATAATAGTGCTTCTACACCATAGAATATGCTACAGAATAGTAGCATTCCGTAGAATAGTGCTGCTACATTCTTTAGAAAAGTATTATTTCACCGCAGACTCTTTTAGATGAAGGAGGATACCTCCCCTGTTCGTCCACTAAAAAAATATTCAGGGCATTACCTAAATAGCTCCTTTTTACAGGTAAACGGCGAAAGAAATCCGGAGAAAGTATACAAGGACTTTAGAGCGGCCGTCCTTCAAATCTTGGGCACACTATTATGTTGTATAATAGTGCTTCTACACCATAGAATATGCTACAGAATAGTAGCATTCCGTAGAGTAGTGCTGCTACATTCTTTAGAAAAGTAATGTTCCACCGCAGACTCCTTTAGATGGAGGAGGATACCTCCCCTGTTCGTCCACTGACAAACTTATTCAAGGCATTACTTAAATAGCTCCTTTTTACAGGTAAACGGCGAAAGAAATCCGGAGGAAGTATACAAGGACTTTAGAGCGGCCGTCCTTCAAATCTTGGGCACGCTTTTATGTTGTATAATAGTGCTTCTACATCATAGAATATGCTACAGTATAGTAGCATTCCGTAGAATAGTGCTGCTACATTCTTTAGAAAAGTATTGTTCCACCGCAGACTCTTTTAGATGGAGGATTATACCTCCCCTGTCCGTCCACTAACAAACTTATTCAGGGCATTACTTAAATAGCTCCTTTTTACAGGTAAACGGCGAAAGAAATCCGGAGGAAGTATACAAGGACTTTAGAGCGGCCGTCCTTCAAATCTTGGGCACGCAAGATGACCAAACCACGATGAATGGTGTAAGCGGCGTCGGCGTAGGCGCTGGTGGTATACCCGGTGAAATAGTCGGTGTGGAACCGGCACCTACAGCACACGAGAGAGAAGAGAAGAGGGAGGAAAGAAGAGAGGAGAGGAGAGAGGAAATAAGAGAGGAGACCACGGTGCTGCCCGTAGCTGCCCCAATGGTTGTGCCAGTGCCTGTCCAGCATGAGAATGGGATTTTGGCGAGGCTAGTCAGTCCCGAGGTTGCAATTCCTAAGGTAATTTCACATTTAAACTCTGAGGCCCAACCACGTAATTGTATACTGATCGTCAAGCTTTGCATGGAAGGAGCCAGTATGTTTTTACGTACGATAGGGGCACTGCTTAATTTTTTTAATTGTTTTGTTTGAATTTGCTTTAGTTTTTAAATGAAACTTTAGTGATGCGATATCATTACAGAACTGTCAAAGTTTGTGTTTGGGCCTCAGTAAGACTATCTGTTTAACATATTTCAATAAAGCGGTATCAATAAACTGGAGGATTCGAAAGAGATATAGCAACAAACCCATTTGAATCAGTATACAGACCCGTCTCTCCCAGTGGGCACTTTGGGCAAGTGCCCAGGGCCCCATGATCGATAGGTGGACACCTCAGATCACAAATAAAAGTCCCTAGTTCTTGTTAGATCACCAAACGGGGGTCATAGGGGCCCCATTATCCCAATATGCCCAGGGCCTCCAATAGGTCAAAGACGTTTTCGTGAGCTCAAACTCGTACTAAGGGTACTGAATCACCTAAAACATGAGTGATGGTAAATAATAAACTAGGCTATAGATTAAAACTGGTTAATTTTGAATTATACTTAGTATAAAAGAGATATGTTCTCAGCATATAACACCGTTCTGGCTTTCATTGATCGATGACTGACTGAATTCACTGACAACGTGTTGCACAAATATTTCGAATAACGTCTGCCTTTTCGCGGAATCGGCATTTTTTCGCTGTACGTACATAGTGCCTGTCTGCCCTCCATTTTGATTGGCTTCCAATGTGTCGATACATCCATTGTTGTATATTTCACGTCAGACACTTAGCAATCGTGACTGGACGAAAAAATGCGATGAATGGTGATTAGGACACGCGAGCGGTGTGTTCCGTCTGTTGCTCGAATTTGTTTTATACCTATTAGAAGCTTTACAAATTTTTTCATATCTCCCAATGTTAACAGTTCTAGAGTAGTCTTTGAGGTACATGCAAAGCGGTTCCGAGTATCGCATCGTTTGTGGAACATAAGGCCTGCCAATGCCATTTGTCCGGCACTGCTGAAATGCATGCATGTATTCATTGGATCGGAATGTGTCCACGATGTCTACAATTTGTTATAGATTCTTTTCATGTAATACGGAACACCAAAACAATTGAAAGCGTCGAGGGCGCATCACAAGTAGGACATGAGGAAAGGCCGCGGGACCGCCACCGCACCGCTATCGGCGCGCCGCCTTGACCTATTGAAGATCCTTGTTTATTTATTGAGCCCCACCGAAATTCATCACCGTTGTCAGCTGTTACCCTAAACTCACAATCGTCAAGTCGTAATTCTGTTTAATCATTACTCGAATGTGTGTTCATGTTTAAAGAGTAATTCGTTGTGGCTAGAATTCATTAGGAATATTAGGCGTAAGTTTACAATAAATTTTATTGTACCCTTATCTCATGAATAAATTTTATATGAGAGAGGTCAGCCATACTAATGTATTCTCTCAAATTGGAGCGCTCTGGTCTCAGGAAGTGAGATTAAGGGGAATACCAGCCATGATTTCCTGTAATTCCACTTTCGCTTTTCACTATCTGGCACTAAGGCCAGTATTATAGAAAGATTCTCAGTGATTGATCCAGTCTTGAGCATAGTTAGAAAGGGATGTCGCTATATATAGCACATAGCGATATCCCTTTCTAACTGTACTCAAGTAAAGATCTACACTTAGTTGTCATTCTGTAATACGGGCCAAAGACACAACTGGAGGGCTGGAGACATTTTCGAGACCTATAAAAAAATATAAGCAGATCACCACGTTGGAAAGTGAGCATAATAAAATCATAGAATCACGCCGAAATCTCATTCTGCCATATCGAAAAGTTTCGGAAAAATGCCTGACACTGATTCCAATTCCGGATAGGATGATCAAGTACTACTAGTAACTGCCTTTAGAAAGTATCAGTGTTGTTAAAATGATATCCATGCTGTAATGAAACGCGCAAAGCATGACCAACCTCGCAAAACACCTTATACGAGCTGGTAATTGAATTCTGTGGTATAATCTTGAACCGAAGCAGCTTCAATCGTGTTCTTTTATCCTCAATCCTCACTTATTAGATAGAGCAGTAATTAACGTGTTTGGTCTGCGATCCTAGAAGTTAAGCAATGGCCGACCGAGATGATTGACCAACATTTTTGTTATTTCGAACTCATTCGTGCTTCGGAAGGCGACGTTGGTTCCAGCTCCAGTTGCATCTGCAATCTTTAACACCCACTAATCTGTACTGAGGCTGCTTATGGCTCGATCTCCCGCTTTAGATCAAGAAGGAGGGCTGTGTCCTATCAGTGGAGACATTTATAGGCCGATGCTGATATGTGTTGTTAATTGTTCCAGCCGGAGGTGATAAGGGTAAAGTCAGCCAACAACGGTCCTGTGTCGCCTCCTGCGACTGTGTGGGTGGTAGGAGGTCCGGGCAGTAACAAGGCGAGCCTGTGCCAAAGAGCGGTGGCGCGCAGAGACGGCTGGACGCATTTCAGGTATGATGGTAGATAATTAAACCTTTTTTTATTGCTGTTAAAGTTCAGTGGAGGTCTTAATGTCCTTTGAGAAGTTTCAAAACCTGTGCGTAGATGTTTTGAGTTAAATGGTGAATGATGATGTATGTCTTGTCCCAATTGTGCTAACGAATCTGCTATAACAAAATCAAAATAAAGTGTTTTAAATCAAGAAAAATAATACACAAAATATTTTAGTACACAGTCTGTTAGGGGTGCTTCCAGTAGCACTGGTATTTAACTATTTCATCATAAAATACGACTATTATGTCTTATATTAGACAGAATCGGATTAGTCGGTCTCACAATTCGGAAAAGAAACCATTGCGTAAGGTAAAGTGTCGCCGCACACGGGCCACTCGCCACAGCCATAAGCGCCGCCACGAGAAGCAAGAAGCGGTTACGAAAGTGGCTGAAGCGCGCGACAGCGGCCGACTAAGGCAAGGGAGAGAGGGGTTTTGTATCGGCGCATTAAGTGTCGCCACACACGGGCCACACGCCACAGTCACAAACGCCGCCACGAGAATCTAGAAGCGGCTACTAAAGTGGCTGAAACACCCGACTAAGGTAAGGGAGAGAAGGGTGGGGAATCGCGCGAGTGACGTGTGGCGGCGTTTTGTATCGGCGCATTAAGTGGCCGGTGCGGGCCACAAGAAGCGAGCAACGACGATTTGTAGCGTGTGGCGGCCACCGGCGTACCATGTGTGACGAGTCTACAAAAAAACTACAAGAAATATGCCGGTGGCGGCGTTTTGTGGATGTGGTCGGTGGCCCGTGTGCGGCGACACAAAGGGGGCGTTCCTTAAACCTACACCTGGATCGCAAGTCCCGGGAACTGCTCATAGTTTCTCTCTCTACCACACGATGGACCTGGCTCCCGCATGGTGAATCCATGGATTGCTAAGAAGTCTGTCTCTCTCATACACCTGTTCGACTGCTACCGGCAAATTGAATAATACGTACACCTTCTTTTCAGTCTGGGGCAACGACTTCGCGCGCTAGCAGACGCGGGCGGGGGGCCTGCTACAGACGGCGCGCTGGCTCGGTCCTCGGTGAGCGGCGGGGAACAAGCACCTCGCGACCTGGTCTCCAGGCTGGTGACCGCCGCTGTTAACGATGCCGCGCGCACGGGAAACGGGCTGATACTCGACGGATACCCCCGGGATATTGAGCAGCTGGAACTCTTCCAGAAAGAGGTAAGACTGAAGATAGTTCTTCTATTTTTGACAGCGACGCGGTTTTGGATAAGTCTGTAATAATCAAGCTTTTAGAGACCTGGTCATTATCGCTGTTAACGATGCCGCACGTGCCTGCCATGGGCTGTTACTCGAACTCGACGGATACCCCCGGGATATTGAGCAGCTGGAACTGTTCCAGAAAGAGGTAAGACTGAAGATAGTTCTTCTATTTTTGACAGCGACGCGGTTTTGGATAAGTCTGTAATAATCAAGCTTCTAGAGACCTGGTCATTATCGCTGTTAACGATGCCGCACGTACCTGCCATGGGCTGTTACTCGAACTCGACGGATACCCCCGGGATATTGAGCAGCTGGAACTGTTCCAGAAAGAGGTAAGACTAAAGATAGTTCTCCTATTTTTGACAGCGACGCGGTTTTGGATAAGTCTGTAATAATCAAGCTTTTAGAGACCTGGTCATTATCGCTGTTAACGATGCCGCACGTACCTGCCATGGGCTGTTACTCGATGGGTATCCGCGGTAGGCTTGCTGAAAATATATCGATGTATCGATATTTTTTGTTCGATATATCGATATTTTTAGCCGATATATTTTGATTCGATATATCGATACATCGATACAAAATAACCAATATCGAAATTCGTATCAAAAACGATATTTTTTTTAATTATTAGCGGCATATCACGATCTAACTAAATTCGTATCTGGAAAAATCGTAACTGAAGCTCAGATTAATGATATTCAATATATCTATGATTTGTGCTGTATTTAGTATTTTCTATGATTTGTAAATCTGTTTCGCTGGTGAATTGGTAAAATAAGGAGGCCCTGCAATAATTTTCATCATTCGAAAATAGGGTTTATTTTTAGGGAGATAATTTTCGTTCCATTATTATTCCGCGTGTCATCTTTCGTGAGATATTTTACTGTCATGTAGTGTAGCGGCAATTTGGTACTTTGATAATTCTTTCTTTAATTATAATTTGTATTATTATTATTGCTGACCTAAATATATTTTTGGGAAAATTGGTCCGATATATCGATATATCGATGTTTTTTTCGCAATATATCGAAGCCGATATTGATATTTTTTAAAATATCGATGTATCGATATATCGATATTTTTTTCAACTTTCGACATCCCTAATCCGCGGGATATCGAACAGCTGAAACTGTTCCACGAAGAGGTGAAAATAAGGATAGTTCTTTGAGGTACTTTGACGAGACAAGCGGAGTGTTGGCTCGGTCTAGGGTGAGCGATGGGGAACAAGTACCGCGGGACCTGGTCTCTAGACTGGTGAACGCCGTAAATATATTAGTATTATAGTATTTTTTTTAATTTCATGTGCGCGTTTTCTTCTAACTAAATGTTCTGTAATCGGAGGTTTGCGCCATCTAGTATCAGTGAGTACTATTATCTGGCATACTGGTAACTTACAAGTTGCTAATGTTGAAATGAGCAACGAAACCGGCATGGTAGATAATAGTGCTAACTGATACTAGATGGCGATGATATTTCAAGCGCATTCTAATTTTATATGGAACATTCTCAATAGAAATCTGATGTTTTTATTATAAACCAATATGACTTGCGCTTGATTGTATAACAGTATTAATTGTTATTATATTACGTTTGCTCCTAAAATAAAACAAATTACCACCATCTAGCGTATGAACACGCGCGTGAATTGCGTCGTCTGGGAGCCCTCATAATTAATTGTACTATATAATATATTGAATGGAATGGAATATTGGTAATCTGGTCATGTCTGTAAATACCAAGAGACATCTAGTTAACTGAACATTAACTAAACTTTGTATGGACTCTCATAAATTAGTAAAGCCTAGTCCTTTTGCATAAACAAAATATTAATAATTTTTTATTACCAAAAAAATTTTCAAGTATGCTGAAAACGAATTCAGGATATTGTTATGGTGGTGAAAAGAAACATTAATAAATATCATTGCTTTTTTATATTCCTTCTTTTTTAAGATTTATTGTGTTCTAAAATAAATATATTAATTCGTTATTAGTATAACTATAATAATAATAACTTTATTTGGAACAAGTGCAATGTAGGTACATAAAATTATGAATCGTTAAATCTGCTTTAGTTTTACAAAAACTGTGTTGCAGAATTAACGCTCATTCCCGAATAATATGTAACAGTGTTCCTATCAATTTATATAAAATTAAAACAAACTGTATTATTACTAGAGAGGAAAATTAAAATGAGACAAAAATATCCACAATTTACAATCCATCGAAGGTAATTTCAAAACAAAAAGAATTTCCGAATGCATTTTTATCAATATCATACCATACCAATACTAAATTTTACCAAAAAATGAAAATAAGGACTAAAATATAACATTTGAATGTTTATGATCACATTAGAAGGTAGGTAAACACAGATAATACAAATCTATCAAAATTACAATATTACACCTACCTGGACACTACAAACCAATAAATCATGATATAGAATAGTTAAATCCAATCCAAGACACAATTTCGCACACATCGTACCAACATCACTGCAAAAAAGTTAATTTAAAGCGTACGAACGTCATTATTATGTTTATTAAATAGTAGAAACGTCCACAGTACCATACGCTGGCCTAAATAAAATAAATATGTTAATCGGGGTTAGTAAAAATCTTTTTCTTCCTTTCTTTCTTCTTTCTAATGTAGTACGGATAATAGTACATAACCCGTGCCCGAGTCCAACTCGCACTTGGCTGGTTTTTGTAGGATTTTTTTCGACAGCGATGCGGTCTTGGCTAAGCTTCTTATTAAACAAGCTTCTGTAGAACTTCGTCCTGCTATACTCTGGTGACCGCTGCCACTAGGGTTGCCACCTTTTTTTATCGAAATAAAGTACATTAGATATTAAAGGTAGAAAAAAAGTACATTGTGTCCAATATAAAGTACTTTTTATTCCACTTTATTAGTAAGCTTAAAAATATATTTAACGTTGCTACTAGCAACTTTTAATAAATAATTTGTGGCTACTGTAGTTTTTCTCCGCAATGGGAAAGGTCATGATACAAAGGCACACAGCCACGAAAATGTTGCAGGAATTAGCTAAGGGCAACATATTCATACTTTCTGTCCGTTTTACGCAAAAATTCTTCCTATCAACCTCTTTTTGTATATATTATGTAAAATTGTTCCGCGAGTAATCAAATCACATAAAATTGGGTATTTTCGCGTACTTTATTGTTGGCATAAGTATAGAGTACAATTACCCGAAATAACGTACAATACTTTATAATAAAGAACGGGTGGCAACACTAGCTGCCATTAACAACGTCGCGCGATTAAGGCCATGCTAGTAGTTGGTGCCAAAGAGAATGTAAATATCTGCGTATAAGTCGCAACACGAAACTCTAGCGCTGACCGTTATTGCGCAGAAGTAAAAATTAAGATGTCTTGTCTTTTTTGATTGTCTCTCCAGTCGTACCTATGCGCAGCATTCCCCACCGCGTTTTGTTCAGCGCTAGAATTACGTGCCGCGATCTGTACTAAAGACAGATTATGAACCAGTTATCACGGCTTTATGTAAAAGTAAGATTTTGCACCATGAAATAAATCATATCACATAGACGAGGGACAGAAATTATATATTTATATATACACTAGCTGACTCGGCGAACTTCGTACCGCCCAAAAGTAATAATTTGCAATAAATTAAAATTGCGACTATAATTTGAGATTTAAACTATCCTATCTCTTAAGTTGGATCGAACTGCACATGGTGTGCGAATTTTATTATAATCGGTTCAGTGGTTTAGGAGTCCATTGAGGACAAACATTGTGACACGAGATTTATATATATTAAGATGTATACCTCTTGCACCTGTGATCACTACGACTGAATAACACGAATGAACAAAAGAAGAGCACTAGAACCTGAATTCGTCAAAGTACTGCAAGAGGGGGAAGGACGCTAACAAGCCAATGGTCAGTGCAATCGTTCGGTCTGTAGTGTGTGACCAGGCAGGTCCTAGCTTTCGCCTATACTATTACATAATCTGTATCTCTGTTCTGATAACACGTCCAAATTCGTTCGTTTTATAACACCCTTTCATCGTCCATTACATCTCATTAATGTCGTTTCTCCTTTTACCACAGTTCGGCATCGAACCCCGCATGCTGCTGCTGGACTGCTCGAAGCTGCAGTTGGGTCGCGGACGGCGTGACGACTCCGTAGCAGCCTTCCGCCGCCGCCTCGAAGTTTTCCGCGAGCTCAGCCTGCCCATGCTCAAGCACCTGGACCAGAACCACCGGCTCGTCATCGTCAGTATCAATACTTAAACATTAACTGCCCTTTTTTTTTGATACGCTGTTGAAATGCATTAAATTGCATACCACATGGTGATTATGTGGGGCTCTCCTCTCCAGAAAAGGGAGGCCTACCCACTAAAACCCCAGCGATGGCCGCCATCAGGCATTGTACGGGGCCTCAGGATCGAGTATCGCATTTGAGGACCCGCGGCCTTTACTCCCCTGCTTCCACCAGGGGAGCCCTTCTCGGGGGAGTGCTCGCAACCTCCCCCATCCACCCTCTTACGACGACACCCCCCGGTCATGCGGGGGTGTCGTCCCTCCCAGGTCGCTTCCATGAGCACAAGCTCCGTCGTGTTCACCAGCGACCCGTGGCGGCGCATCAGGCCATTATCTGGCCCGACGCCGCCTTCTTCGAGCGTGATCGGCCATCTCCCGATCCCGCTAGGCGGCCTCCTTCTGGAGCATCACCGCTTCACAGAAGAAGGCCGCAGCCCTCCAACCTCCCTCATCCGCCAGCATTGCCGCAATCAATGCTGGCAGAGACAGATCTTGCCCGATTTCTCCGACCAAGACTCGACGTTCGGAGTCCCAAGCGGGACAATCCGCCAGCGTATGCTGGGCCGAGTCGAGTTCGGATGCGCAATGGTGACATCGTGCCGTGTCCCTCCCAATTAACATCAACTGCCCAGCCTCGAGGTGTTTCGCGAGCTCATCCTGCCCATACTCAAGCACCTGGACCAGAACCACCGGCTCGTCATCGTCAGTATCAATACTCATACATTAACCGCCCAGCCTCAAGGTGTTTCGCGAGCTCAGCCTGCCCATGCTCAAGCACCTGGAGAAGAACCACCGGTTCATCATCGTCAGTACTCATATATTAAGCCTTTATTGCAGGTGGTGGTAGTACAAATATTGACAATTCAAAGACGCTTCCCAGTTGAGTTATATTTTCATTTCACTGTCTGAAAACGGCAGACATGAAAGAAATCCCGATAAGTGAGTTATAACAAAAATTAGGATTTATAATTTCAAATTTAATTTTTACTTTGGTTGTAAAATATTGAAAACGGTACATGGTATGTAATCCAATCATTATTATAACATAATCTCAATACGTCTGAAGATTGATTTAAACAGAGCTGTGTAATTACTCCACCGCTTCTGCTTAGTGAAAATAACCCACTTAAAATGGTATTGAATTCTTTACTAGCACATTTGTACATTCCTGACTTTAACCCTAGATCTTAATAAAAGTCTAAAAAGCACTGTTCAGGAAGGATAACTAGGTTTTCAAATCTTAAAAAACTCTTTAAGATAAGTATGACTATTACGGCTCGTATCTCTATTCCATTAGTTAATTTCTGCCCTGGACTCCACTCAAACATTACATGAGATTATCTTAACAGGTGGACGGTGATACAGATTCTGCAGAAGTGCAGGAGGAGTTCACGCAGGTGCTCCTGGAGGAGATGGAAAAAGCTGAAGCGATCGCAGCAATGCCCGAGCAACCACCCACGCCAAGATCTGGTAAGAGTTTGGAATAACAGTTATCATTATGATCAGCGCATTAATGTTTTAACCCTTGGGTTTCTTGGCACCTATTCTTAAGTATTGAAAGCTTCTGTATCACTAGACACAGATTAATAGAAACGACTACTAGCGGTATAACTGGGTCCTTACGGGAACTAGATAAAGATTTCAGATTTATGCTAGAGTTCCTTCGATAAAACCCTTCTTCGATGACCTTTTAACTACGTATTAAAGTGCCAATGGTTAGCATCTGTGTTAAGAATGAATATTGGCAGGGGATTTTTCAATTTTTACAAAAAAACATTTAATGATTTTACTAAAAACCCACAAAAAAGATAATAGTTTTCTTGTCTATTGTCACGTGACTCAAAACGCTTGGGATTGGTGGAGCCTAAAATGACGTCACACGCAAGTAAACTTCCGGTTAAAGTGACATTACATTGTATCGTTTGACGTTTTAATAACAGTCGTGTGACGTCACACACTAGTAAGACGCCATATTGTCCAGAGAAACGTTTTCGCGGCAACTTGAAAATGGAGTTTTTGATTTGGTTATTTTTAATAAAATACACAACAGAAAGATGAAAATCCACTTTTTACGGACTCCATAAACATTAGCCAATAACGTGAGATCGTTTTCTAAAACTTGTCAAATACCGTATTGATTGCCATAGCCCTAGACTAGAATATAGACGAAAACACAGTTCAGAATCCAGGTTAGCTCATTGTAACTCACGACCGCTGGATATAGCACAACCAAGTGACGGCTCGGCGATTTGTCCTCAGATGTAACAGCGGTACAGCAGTTCGCTCACGCCATGTCGCGTATGGGTAACGGGTTTGCGAACGGCGCCGTACGGAACGGCACCGCGCATAACGGGACCCTGCCCAACGGAAACCTGCCTAACGGAACCCTGCCAAACGGGACCGTGGCCAACGGGTTCGTGGGCATGGCCAACAATAAGGTGAGTTAAACCTATCCAAATCGTCAAGAAAGAAACAGAGCTGAGGAGCTCGATGGCGTAAGTGGTTAGTGCGTTCGGCTGCGATCGTCAAAGTTAAGCAACTTTCGCAGTGGTCGGTCATAGGATGGGTGACCAAAAATTTATTATCTCGAGCTCCTCCGTGCTTCGGTAGGTACGTTAAACCGTTCGTCCTGACTGCGTCTGCAGTCGTTAGCACTAACCGATTCGCACTGTGCCCGCTTGGTGGGTGATGGTCTAATCTCCCTATGGATGTAACCATATGGAAAGCCCGTGCCCCAGTAATAGGGACATTAATAGGCGGAACCAACCCCCTCTGGCTTGGGAAAAGCATTCCACTTGCAAATACTACGACAAAAGGCCAAACGTTTTTCGTGTACCTCTGTCCCAGAAAGAAGATATACCATAGCGACAAAAGAGACAGATGTAGAAACAATTTGTAGGGAGTCATGAAAGTACGCGTTGTGGAGACTATTCCGCTCGTACCTACCACATGCGTGTGATTTGCATTGTGGATAAGTGCTTTTGGGCATTGCTCGGGATCGTGACATTGATTTCCTATATAGCCGTATTGGTGCACTGGTAAACTATTTACATTTTTATTATTTTATTTTTGAAGCAAAAAAAAACAGTAATTACTATTTTTCCTTTCAAATGATATTACTTGTAAAGGTATTTCGTTTGACATCTACAAAGCGACGAGATGACACTCCCTAAAAATAATAGAAAAAATACGACACGGCCGTTAAGTAGCATAATTAGTCAGTGCAACCGCCCGGATAGCGAAGGGTGCAGGTTCGAATCCTGTCAGCTGTCTGGACCGCTTGGAAATTTTTCTATTAAAATTTTCTTAAGATTTACCTATATTTTTTAAAAGATCTTTGGGAATAATCGAATTCTAAAGAACATACGACAAAGTTCCTTGATACCTAAAAAAAATCCAAGGTCTATTTAAGATAATTTCTCTGACAATACCCATAAAAGCTTCATTTTGTATGCAGGTGAAGCCGATGGTGAACAACGTTGCCAAGATCCCGACTGTGTCGCAGATGACACACGACGAAGTACGTCGTCTCTACGAGAACAGTTCGGGCGAGGTTACCATGGACACGCACATGTAGCATACCCTCCACGGCACCGAGCGATATATCACCGTGTAACAACAATATGAGGTGCGAGTGATATGTCACTTTGTAATAACGATACAAGGTGCGAACGATTTGTCACCGTATAAAAACTATACAAGGTGCTAGCGATATATCACCGCGTTAAAACGATACGAGTTGCGAAAGATATGTCGCAGTGTAACAACGATATGAGGTGCGCACGGTATGTCATCGTGTAAAAGAATACAAGGTACGAGTGATATGTCACCGTGTAATAACGATACAAGGTGCGAACGACGTGTCACCGTGTAATAACTATACAAGGTGCGAGCGATATGTTACCGTGTAATAACGATACGAGTTGTGAGAGATATGTCGCAGTGTAACTACGATATTAGGTGCGAACGTTGTGTCACCGTGTAACAACGATTGAAGGTGCAAGCGATAGGTCACCGTGTAACAACGAAACAAGGTGTGAGCGATATGTTGTCGTGTAATAACGATACAAGCTGCAAACGATATGTCACCGTGTAACAACAATACAAGGTGCGGGCGATATGTCACCATGTAACAAAGTGTTACATGGTGACATATCGCCCGTACGTGCAAGAGATGTGTCATCATGTAACAACGATGTGAGGTCCGCCACCTCTACGAGAACTGTTCGGGCGAGGTCATTATGGACACATATATGTATATAATAATAACAAACTTTTCCAAACGATTTCTAACTTTAAGCGTCATCGCTATGGTGCGAAACTTTTCAAATAAAAAAGCATATAGCTGAACATACACCAAGAAATACATAATATATGTCATAGTTAAAACGCATGAAGAGTCAAAACCTATTTTGACTACAAAATTCGTCAAGAAGAAAACAACTTTTCTTTTATTTTATGCAATTGAGAGTGGTTTTTATTGGAGACGTTGGTTAAAACTATTTGAATTCACCTAATACTAACCCATACGACTATAGAAGCTACTCCTTTGTTGTGTTCTGTTGGTGAGTGAGGGATGTGAGCAAAACACGACGAATCTATACCAAATATTTTCGTGGCACTACTGTACCTCGAAGCATCTTGTAATGTGACCTCAGCCTAAAGAAAAAATGTACTAAAATGGGTGACGATATGCAATTATAACTATTAAGTACTATTTTTGGAGATATGTGCTGTGCCCAAATGCTAAAATTAACTTAAAATTAACGCACTTTAGGTTAAGCTAGACACCTAGACAGTAGTATGCTAAATAAATGTTGCGTACCAACATAATAATGTTTAGTTGTGTTGTTACGTGTTGTATTTGTAAATTCTAACGATTATTATTATCTATAAATAAAAGTAAATAAAGTTATAAAGTACTTTGTAAAAAAAGTTCGATCGAATTCAATCCAAACAATTTTCAATCGCTTGCAATCGCTCTGTAAGATGTGAAGATTTTCTTCTCAAATTTGGGAATAAGCTTTCCGTGTTGAGAGAAAAGAAAAGATCATCTTTCAGTGTTGGACCCATTTTCTTCAATACTGTAATATATTGTTTGACAGGGAATTATATATTTTTTTTTATGTTATATTCGGCATAAGAGCTAATGGCTCATCTGATGGTAGTCACACCGGCACCCATAGACACCTGCAACACCAGGAATATCACAAATGCGATGCCGGCCTTCAAGGAAGAAGTACGCTCTGTGTTTGAAGGTTTTCATGTCGTATGTTCCGGAAACACTGCTGATGACAATGTATTCCACAGTTTTGTCTTACGTGGTAAAAAAATTCGACAAAATCGCAATTTTGTGGATAGCCACGCATCAAGATGGTGGGCATCCCCCCAATAGCGAAAATCAGCGGCTGGTATTAATAATAAAAATATTGAGAGAAATATAGTGCGTTTAATCAAATAGTTCCTATGCCGTCATGTTGGTTAACAATTTACCAAAACAATTTGATTGGTTAACAAGTTAAACAGGAGAGATGTCATAAAGTGATTGGTAATAACACGTTGACAGACAGGAATGCCAACATGACGGCATAGGAACTATTTGATGAAACGCACTATAGTAATTTAAATTTTAAAACTTATTTTTCATTGTGAATTTGAATTGTCATCTTTTTATAACTTGATATATACAAATAAAGTTATTATTAATTAATAATTGTAATTGTAGCTAGATATGAGTTGGATCCTCCTCAAATCGCTATTTTGTGCTATCTACATTTATTTAGTATTTATTAAAATTATTTTTGTAAATATACAACATTTTGGTGTAATATGTATGTAGATATAAAGATATAAGTATTTAAGTGCAAACCAAACTACGGAAAAGGTAGAAATAAAATAAACTAACAAATATTAATGCTAACTACTCTAGGCTCTAGGAGCATTATGTCAGGTGTAAATGTCATTTATTAAGTGTACCTAGGTATCTGTGTAGCTATCATAGCTAAAGTAATGTATATTTAAAAAATAATATAGGCAATCAAAATTTATAACAGAGGACCACTTAAAGAATAATTGGATTAAACATTTAGTAAAAATAATAAGGTTATAACTTAAGAATGACGCACATTGACTTGTTAAACTAGTGCCTTAGTGTAAAAAATACAAAATACTTAAAAAGATATTTAAAATATCATTACTTTAAAGACGTTAAGAAAATATGTCATGTAGTTTTTTAAAGAAATGTCTATTTTATATAATTATTATTTAATCGATGCGACTAAGCGCAATCGCACATTGAACCACTATTGGCGGCCGCTAAACGCGACCACAAGCTGCGGTCGAGTTTTTTTCATACATTTTGTATACTATCGGCGCAAACTAAGCGTTCGAGTGGCCGTGTTCGAGCCACTAGTTGCGGAAGTAGCCCGATCTCATTCTACTTGTGGTTGCGTTTTTTGTATGTCGGTGAAATGAACGAAAGCATTAGTGTTTCCATTTGACAAACGCGTTAGACCCCTGCTGCAAGCTTTCGAATTCAACTATAATTACAATCTAAAGAAAAGTTTACTAGAAAAAAATCCACGCGGATCAGACAGCGAACGGGACTCGAACCCGCACCCTTCGCAATCCGGGCGAATGCACTGACCATTATGCTACCACGGCCCTATTCGCCGCGTCGAAATTTTCCTAGCCTTAAGCTGCAAGGCAGCGCCATCTCTTCGCATTGTAGGTAACCCACAATGTCAAATGAATACTTTTTCAAGTATTAAACATCTGAAAGAAGAAATAGCAATTAAAGTTATGTTTTTATTTATTTTTAAGCATTTAACTGCTAGATGTTTATATCTAAAGAAAAGTTTACTAGAAAAAAATCCACGCGAACCAGGCAGCGGACGGGACTCGAACCCGCGGAAAATTACAATCTTTGGAATTTAACTAAAATTGGCGGCAAATAGTGGCCGCCCAATAAGTCACTAGTGGCTACGATTGGTGGCTGCGTCTAGTGGCTTGAATGAGCTACTAGCGATCGTGTTTAGTGGCCGCAGCTAGTGGCTCAATGTACGATTGCTCTACAACTATATTTACAAATTATTTTGATCAGAAAGTTTAATTTCTTATTAAAACGAAAACTTTAGTATTTTAACTTCGTAACATCCAATTTGATGACTCTATTCAATGGATTAGAAAATATTTTCTTATTCGTTGGCTCTATTAGAACTTAAAGTTATTCACTACAATAGATACAGTCGAATTTATCTTAAAATAGGTTTACAGTAAAAATCTGTTATTGCTATTCAGTAACAACAAACTTACATTTCACCGCAGAATTCGCCGGGGTAATTTGAAATTATTTGAAATTCGTTGTTAGAGGTGGAAAATGAGTTTGTTCTGACAGAATAGCACTAGTTATGTAAAATGTTTTAAATGCTTTACCATAATAATAGATCTCGTTAGACGAATTTAAAATAAAGAAGTGTCATTTTTAGTTTTATGTTAAAGATAAACTTGTATTTATTAACACAGGTAGTTAATTAAATATTAAATAAATTAAAAATGTCATCACCTGTAAAACTAGTCATAACTAATAGTTATTAATAATAATAAATCACGTAGATAGGAATTACCACAAAACAGGGGCCAATTTAGTATTAGTCGTAGTGAAAACATAGTATTTTAGTTAGTATCTTCACTTGTACTAATGCACTACTTTTTATATGGAAAAAATGTGTGTACAGACAGTCACACTTAAGTTATTATAAATTGATCAATTTCGTTTAATATGGATTGCGAATCTCTTAAAAATTGAATAAGGCCTCAAATTCATTGGCGCGTTTTTGTCCGTCGATAATACCCGATGCGTTATTTCGTCATACTTCTATTGCGTCGTTATCATCACAAAAATGCATCCGCTATTAGCAATAGGGTATTTGACATGTCTTAGAAAACGATCTCACGTTATTGACTAATGCTTATGGAGTCCGTAAAAAGTGGATATTCATCATTCTGTTGTGTATTTCAATAAAAATAACCAAATCAAAAACTCCATTTTCAAGTTGCCACGAAAACGTTTCTCTGGACAATATAGCGTCTTACTAGTGTGTGTCGTCAAACGACTGTTATTAAAACGTCAAACGATACAATGTAATGTCACTCTAACCGGAAGTTTACTTGTGTGTGACGTCATTTTAGACTCCGCCAATCCCAAGCGTTTTGGGTCACGTGACAATAGACAAGAAAACTATTATCTTTTTCGTGAGTTTTTAGTAAAATCATGAATATTTTTTTTGTAAAAATAGTAAAAACCCCTGCCAATATTCATTCTAAACACAGATGCCAATAATTGGCACTTTATTTTTAATACTGTCAAATACCCTATTGATAAAAACGCGCCTGTACCGGAGGGGAGGCCTAATCATACTGAGGAATTTATCTCCTTTTTGAATTCGGTTCAGTCAGTTTCTGAACAATTCGATGCTCTAAAGGAAGCTGTGAAAAACATAGTCAATATTGTTAAAGAATTATGTACAGACACCAGAAAGTCATCACGAAAAGAATATCTTCAGGTGAATTTCAGCGTAACCTAAAAAATTGTGTACCTTATAGCCTGAGCAGACGAGGGACACAAAAGTCCCTGAATCGTGAAAAAATGTACTCCGAATATTTGTCACGGACTCAACGCCCGTGTGCGTTTGTTGCCCGGAAATTTAGAAAAACGCACTTAATGGAAGAAAATTGTCTGAGATTACTTTGTGTTATATTAAAAATTGAGTTCTAGAAAAATACAACACTTGTAATGGTTTTATTCTCTTTCCACTGCTCCCACTAGCTTACGAGTATGTGTACAGTGCCCTTAGCACGAATCATTATCGAATTCGATTAGTGTCAATGTCAAATTTTGTATGGAAACTTGAACAGCAGCGGCACAAAGTACGTAACGAGAACTAAAAATCAGTACACATTTGATAATGACATTTCGGACTCGCAAAGGATACGAATTCGATATTGGTTCGTGCTAGGGGTACTGATTTTCAGTTCTCGTTACGTACTTTGTGGCGCTGCTGCAATGACATTTAGGACTCGTAAACTATTCGAATTAGACATTGGTTCGTGCTAAAGGTACTGTACACATTTTTAGTTCTCGTTCTGTTCAAGTTTCCATACAAAATTTGACATTGACATTTCGGTTTGCAAACTATTCGAATTCTGTAATGGTTCGTGCTAGGGGTACTGAAGTTAGCTGTGTGCGTTGCTGCACCTAGTTACATGAGTTTTTTTTTGGAGACACTCGCGTACTTTTGTACTATCCGTTCTCTCAGCCGGTGTCGTCCACAGAACTCAGGAAAAGGTTACTAAAGCCTTGTGGGCGGGGCAGGCGGGCCACAGTTATGTGTGAGAAAATGCTCATCATCATCATCATGTCCCGTATGACGCCCACTGCTGACCATATAGGCCTCCCCCAAGGATCTCCACACCGATCGGTCCTGCGCCACTTGCATCCATCGGCTTCCCGCGACCTTCACAAGATTGTCGGTCCACCTTGTAGGGGGCCGGCCCAATAAGCGTCGTCCGGTGCGTGGTCGCCATTCCAGAAGCTTTCCGCCCTAACTGCCATCGGTTCTTCTTCCTACGTGTCCCGCCCACTGCCACTTCAGCTCATAACTTGAACAAAACCTGATTCTGATTGCGTCGTTGCTCTCGGCTGTGAGCGTTGTTTGGTTCAATTGTTTGATGTCGCGTCGTTTGATTGGCTATTATCTATTAGATGGAATTGTAGTGGGGGCGAGCCGGCGACATCGGTTCCGATCCCCCTTCTAATCTCTTTCTGTGTTCTGTGGTGTCCTCGGTTGTTCGGAGGACATTTTTTACGCGGTAATTTTAATCCGTCGTGTGCGTTACTTGATGAAGTTGTAAGCCATCTGTTTTAGCGGACAAAAGTTCTTCATCTGCGCAGACCGACAAATAAGTATTTTTTTTGTATAATCAGCGCCTGTACTTTTGATGTGTCGTTTACAAAGAAATTATATAACTGTCCGTTAACCGTTAAGGTACCTATATAACTTCCTTAGTCGGATGTGTTTCATTACCATCCACCCTTCTCTAACATACAATATTAGTTAATCCCGTAGACTAAGCCATAACATGACGAAATTCAGATCACAATGCGTGTACAATTCCTGAAGATATTACTATTGTTTGTACATATTCTTAAACTTTATTTAGAATAAGTAAACTAAAAAGCATTTTGTTTGTTAACTAACTTTCTTATTTTATTAAAGACAGAGTTTAGGTGATACTACGCATCACTTAAGAGATGAAACCACATAAGAGTCGTCTCAAAGTGAGGCCTGATTTACGTAACACCTTATACGACTATTACTGCACAATTCATATGAAACTGTAGTGCCGTTCGGAATTTGTATCATAACAACTCTTTGATTTAAATAAAAATGGAAGATACGGTACGCTTATACTAGCATCAAATAAAATATGCTCCGACTCAACTACATAAGCAACTCTCACACACGCACAGGTCTGTATATAAACATACAATCGAGCGAGCGAGACAGAACTATACGACCAATGCAGCGCGAGCGAAACGGCGAGTCCGCGTCAGAGTCCGAACGGCTGAGCTGTATTGTTGTCCTTTCCTTGAAAACAAAATGGCGATTACGTAAATAACATTCAAGAAAAACCGTGATTTTTGAGCACAAAATGTTTTTTTACAGTTTTACAAATGATAAGTGTTGCCGAAGCATTTGTTATATGATTTTGAACTATTTGTGTTCTTTATAAAAGCATCGAAGGCATTATTTTATCTTTATAACACAGAATATACGCAATATTGTTATATTGAGTTCACATGCAGCGTTTTTGAATGTCTAATTGTGACTAAAGCGAATTGTGGTCATGCACCACAATTTAAGCGGAGCGGAACTTTTGAGCCGTGCGTGCCGTATCTTCCCTAGTAGGTAGTCAACACTACAATAAAGTTCTCACGTCCACTTGACTTGACTTGAATAGCTTAAAGAATAATTTTAAAGATTTCACTAATTTTTCAGTTGCGCAGACGATGGTTACATAAAAGCACACCAATTTTATTTCACAATATCCACGATGAACGAATTTAAGAATAATTAAAATAAGACGCCAACCGATGAAATCCAACCAGAAACTCCTTACTATTTTTTTTATTGAACATTTAAATATGTGCCATTTCATATTATCAGTCCTTTGTTTTTCGATCTCTTCCGTGCAAAAGGTTTACTCTTCGGACAGCCCCATTGCTGTTGTTTGCGGCGTGGTGTCTGCACGTATCTGTATGAATTTAAAAAAAGAACATTTTCATTCAAGCGCTTCACGAACACAGCACCGAAACTTTTCATGAATTTTAAGTTCATACAACGCCCCATAGTTTCAGAACCTTTTGTAGAGGATTCATATCATAGGTGTAGATAAAGCCTTGTATGCAGCTGTTTATAATTAGATATTAAAATATTCATGTGATACATGATGAATACATACGTAGTTTTCATCTAAACTCGGTCTTATATTTCATGATAAGCTTAAAATAATGTTGATAAAACATTTGAAATGTATTAATTTGTGAAGTTACTTGATGAAATAATTGGTATTTTTATAAACGTTCAATTTTAATTAACACTTCAAAAGTATTTTAGATTAAATAAACACTATGTGTTTGTAGAAATTCGTTTATATACAAAAATAAACGGGCACTCTTTTGTAGTTAATGGTTTTCTTTATTCCTCTCCTCATCATCATCAGCCTATTAATGTGCCCATTGCTGGGGCACATGCCTTCCCTATGGATGGAATAGGGAAGGCCTGTGCCCCAGAAGTGTCATGAAATCGCAGCCGAACGCGCTAACCACCTTCGCCATCGAGCATCTCATAATAATATTTAAATATTATAAGATTCCTCGATTGAGGAGCTTGATGGCGCAAGTGGTTAGCAAGTTCGGGTGCGATCGTTAAAGTTAAGCCATTTTCGCAGTGGTCGGTCATAGGATGGGTGACCAGAAATTTACTATCTCGAGCTCCTCCGTGCTTCGGAAGGCACGTTAAACCGTTGGTCCGGGCTGCGTCTGCAGTCGTTAGCACCCACCAATTCGCACTGGGCCCGCGTGGTGGGTCATGGCTCAATCTCCCTGTTCCATCCATAGGGAAGGTCTGTGTCCCAGCAGTGTGGACGTTAATAGGCTGATGATTATGATAATAAGATTAGCATAGATATTTTATAAGATGCAATCACACTTATGATCTCATTTATTTGGATTTCTAACAAATGTTAAATAAAAGTAATACTGGCTGCTTCTACAGACATAGCGAAATTTTGCCGTGTAATCTCGTAATGCATATCAAACTAATGTCCAAAATGGCAGCAGCAGATTTTATTTTACAGAATCAGATAAGATTTTATCTACAGATAGGAAAATGCAGAGGAAAAATAAGACCGCGAAACATTACAAAACCTTCGACGGTCAGAAAAAACAAAATGAAATCGCAAGCGATAGCGATAGCCGCAGCAATCCTGTTAGGCGATTGGCCCCTAGTGCTCCAGCAGTAGAGACATAGACTGGTCATGATGTGTCATATCGTAATGATAAAGTATTTATAAAAATCTTCAAAAACTGCTAGAAGATTCGCATCACAATCACAACTCAACATTGTAAAATTTCAAGAGATTTCTATATACTTAATTAAGATTATTTCAGACAAAGATTATTAGATGAGGATAGTTATTTGTTTTGTATGCATGAAGCACACAATGATTTAAATAAAAAACAAATTTTAAGTAGGTTCTAGCTGTGCTTTTTAATATTTATTTACATTTCCCGACCTTTCGGATCCTTTACAGAAAGATTTTTGAAAAGCATTCAAGTGTTTTATATAATAATACTAGCTGATCCAGCGAACTTCGTGCCGCCATAAAAATAGGGTTTGATGGTAGACGGGTGAAAATTTAGGGTGGACTATGTATTTTTAAATGCCAAACAATAAAAAAAATGTCCAAAAAATAAAAGAAAAATGTTTGGGGTGGCCAATCCTTAACAGGGGTATGAAAAATAGATAATAGTCGATTCTCAGACCTACTGAATATACATATGAAATTTTATAAAAATCGGTCAAGCCGTTTCGGAGGAGTATGGTAACTAACATTGAGACACGAGAATTTTATTTATAAGATAGGCATATAATTTCATAGCTTTCATTTATCTCATTAAAGAGTTTATTGTAAAAAAAACCTACATATAAAACACGCACACCAAAACTGCCTTACTGCACAGAAATATTTTCGCAAAAGCGCTACGTGACAGACTTAAAGCTTGTTGTAGGTAACCCAGATTTTTGCATAGCTTTTCATAACCGCTGCTATTATTTCGCCTTGGGCGGGCGGGCTGCGCTTTTCCGGCCCTACCCTAGATGCAGCAGCGATTTTCCCGCGCTGTCACCGGTTTTATTGGCGGGTTGGCAGCCTAGCACGATTGCCTCGGCCTTGACCGATACTTACCGCAGTCGCTCCGCACACCTCGCTGAGAACGGGCGCGCCCAACACCGCTGTCACCGCTTGCGGCTCCGTTCAAACAAACTCAATCAAAATGGTAAGTTAAATTCTTTTTAAAATCACTCAACCATTATTACAGTTGAAATAGGACAAAAAAAACTTTCTTTTACATTTTTTTGGTAATCAAATATCTATTAGATTCGGTATAAATAGATGTTGCGGTTGTATAATCGGTCGCAGCGACGAAATTTACGAATATCGCATATACGTAATATGAACGAGTGCGTGTGTAATTGAACTTATAAATTACTTACGTAACTTCTGAGTGAAAATGTAGAGCCTGCTCTAATGACAACTTAGCTGGACAGCTGCTTAAGAATAATTTATACTACAGACGATCGATTGAGCATTCTGTACTATTTTTGAAATAGCCTTCTACCTTGCTCACATTCGCTCATAAATTACTTTTTATTTAGCTTAATAATTTTACTTGCACACAGCATATGAGATATTTACAAATGAACATATTTTCAGATTCTGTTAATATTGTTTTTTAAAAATGGGGTTTGACATAGTTATAGACGGTTTCATATAACTTCAGAATAAGAAATCTTATAAGAACATTGCTTGGTAGATAAAAGATTTTTTGAGTCGGTACAACATATAGCACTTACACTTAATTAAAACATACACTTAATTTTTAATACTTTTAAACTTTATACACACAGTTACCATTGTTTTATTATATTAAATAAAGAATATATATTTAAACAATCAAAAATTTAAACTTCTCACCATCGACTCTATTTTTATATCACACTGAAAGTAAAAAAAATACATAATTATAAAGTCTCTCTATTACATATTTGGGAGATACTTTAAACAGAAAATCTATTGAATAGAGGTAGAAGTAAAACCACACTTAAATAAGCCTCGGCGACCTCAGTGGCCGAGTGGTTTGTACGCCGGGTTTTATGGTGTCGCCGACTCGAGAGGTCCCGGGTTCGAATCCCGGTGGGGGAAGATGTTCGTGTGATGAATACGAGCCTTTGTACTCCAGTCATGGATGTTTAATATATATTTCTATATAAATATACTTATATATGTACAGTATATGTATTCTATCCGTTACCCTAGCATCCCATAACACAAGCCTTATAGTGCTTACCTTGGGGCTAGGCTAATTGGTGTGAGTGTTGGAAATATTTATTTATTTCATAGAACTGAATCTACTTTTTTGTGTATGTATGCTGTATGTCGGTCGCAGTTGACCTGTACAGCGTCATCGGGTTTGGGAACGGCGAGATCCTCAGGGGATCTCAAGCCGAAAAACTGGATCTACATGCATTATACTGTTTCAAGCTGCATTTTAAGAAAAGGCCTATAACGCATTCCAAAAATGCTTATATAAAAATAAGATGCTCTAATATGTTTAAATCCCAAACTTCATGTTATTAGAATACAAAAATAGAATTTCCTAACAGCAAAATTTAATATTCGGATAATTTTTGGCCTCTGTAGTCACAGATTCATTATACGGCAAACTTAAATATATATAATAGTTATCTATTGATAGTATCTTGAGCAATACCTTACTACACCTAATCATAGCTATCTTCGAACGTGTAAACAAATAGTAACAGTTTTATAGACGACCGATAACATTGTTTACCGTAAAACCAATTTATGGGCTCTAATCTGAATAGTCTCTCAAAACGGTTAGATAAATTTACATAAGTTTTGAAATGAAACTTCTTTACGCACACTTGACTTGGGGAGTAAGCTGGCGAACGCGTTACGAAAAGTGTGATCGGACGAGGCGAACGAGAGTTGAGTGGGGGATATAAGCAAGAGCTTTACAAGCGCACATTTTCTCTCTCTCTTTCTCTTATAGCTAGTAAATGAAATAATACATCTGTATATATGTATACATATATATACAGATGGAGCTAAAGAAGTTTCACTTCAGTCGTGTGGTCATAAGCACACTCGTTTTTTTATTAAACTTAATACAGTTTCATTACACACGTATAATATAAATAAATGAGTTAATTTGATTTCATTTTACTTTTTGTGATTTTTAGCCAATAAAACCTACAACTTTATTTCTTTTCTATTAAAAGCCATTAAAATGTTTAAATAGAGAATTATTCATTTGTTGCTATGTTATTGTTTTAGTATGTTTCTTTCAGATTCCTTTAAAGGGTCGAAATTTTTAAAATAAATGTAACAAAAAATGCACTTCACTACATGTGTGTGTATAAAACACATGAACAAAGATATTTTCACGATTGCCCGCTACTCACGTCTAAGAAGGTAGGAAGTGTTAAGCAACCCTCATTCAAGGGTGCACCTCATTACTTTAAAATTACCCATAAAACGGTCTCGATTACAAAGGAAAATGATGCGATTTTGAGTGACTGTTTTAGGTAAAATTATATACGATGACGGAACATTTCGTTTAAAGACAAGAAAGTAATGACAAGAAATAAATATGTGGAAAATTCCTACACCCGGTTTACTTATTTAATGACAATGTCTAAACAAATAAACTGCAGTAAGTACAAGTCTAAACTAATAATTTGGGAGCAGCTGATTCTGGTTCTTATCTTACGCACATGAGCGTATCGTTAAACTAAATATCTGATAAACACGTCTCAATCAAATGGCCGACGCCGCATTTGATTAGGCAAGATGATGTATCAAAACATTATTGGTGTTCCACATTTCTAAATGTACCCTGTGGCGGCGACATCTATATGCCCCACAGATATACAACGGATATAACAAATCATTACTCACCATCCTCAAGAGATGGCGTTACCTGCACTGCGATCAATAATAGTATGGAAGCCTACATCGCGCAAATGAAATTCGGAAGCTAACTCTTATATATACGATGCCCGACCAACATCAGTCGGGCCGCGGCCCCCGAGCTAACATCACCCAGCTCGGAGGAAGATCTTCCCCTTTGGCCTTCCTACAACCCTTCTTAGGGATCCGTATCCAAATGTATGAATATTTAACGATGGTCTCGTCAACTGTACCCTTGTAAGAGTTTGAGCTCACGAAAACTATCATAGGTTTCGTAACTGTAAATTATGTTTCTATGTCCATTTTGGTGAAAATTAACCAAATATACTTAATATTTACGAAGATGCAAATGATTTAATGATAGAATTTAAACATTGTTTATTTGTATTGAAACGAA